TCGAGTATACAAAGCTCTTTGCGAAAATGAGAAGGGCTGTTGTCCGCACCACTCAGAGCCAGAGGCCAACGCCCCCGACAGCCTTTTGCCGCCTACGCCTCACGCCTCAGTCTAAGCCCATCAAAATCTCTTCAAGCTATAATGCTGCGCCCGGCGTTCCTGCTTGGCCCGAAGCTTCCGCAAAACACCTTGTAAGACTTGAATACCAGGACGCCCAATGCCGGCTCCTTGGTTGCCACCACCGCCGCCGTGGCCGCTTGCGCACAGAGCGCGTGTCAGCTCGGTCCTGCCAAGGACGTCCTATATAGGGGTTAGGGCCTGAGAAACACACTTTAAGCTTCCCACGTGAAGCTGAAACCTATAACACCTACAATTCCTAGATTCAGGTGCAAGGTGGGTTCACGCGCTTCAGCTGCTGTGCGACGGCCGCGCAGGAACTGTCGGGGTTTTCCCGTTTCAAGCGGGCTCCACAGGGCTTCGCTTCCGGGTGGAGGGTCTTGGCCTGTCGGGCGCTTCCATTGGGCAGTTGGAGTTCAGCCGGTCTCTCTACTAGAGCTGAGAGCAGATGTGGGTTTTGTCGATAACGGAGACTGCAGGTCTAGATCTCCTGCTCGGTTTCCGAGTCGCACAACCCCCCAGAGCTGGGGAATTCACCACTGCAGCGCAAGGCATACTCGATCTAGGGGCCTAAGTAATTACCTTTACTACTTTTGGGGTCTCTTCATTATGATTATGGGCTCCTTATTATAATAAGAGTATAAGAAACGCCCAAAGGATTATAGTATGATAAACGCCCAAAGCATACTCTATAGAGGCCTAAATAAGTACCTATACTACAATTGGGGGGCTCCTTATCATAGTGATAGTATGATAAACGCCCAAAGCCCTCTTCTGATTATATGAAGGCCCCTACACACATTGCCGACTTCCGCGCGAGGCCGCGTGGAGCTGACGGGCGTGCTCTGCAACGCGGCGCTGTCCGGGCCGCAAGGAGCCTCTGCCCAGAGGGAGCTTCTTGGTTTGGGGTTTTGGGTTTAGGGGGTTCTGGGTTTTCTTTATACTATAATTAAGCATAAAAAAGGAGGGTTTAGGGTTTAGGGTTTGTTGGGTCTTGGGGTTTTAGGGGTAGATTCATACTATAATAAGCGCTTGAGGTTTACGGTTTAGGGGGTTTAGGGGTTTTAGGGGTTTTTATTTACGCTATAATACGCATAAAAGGAACCCTATAGTTGAGGGTTTTGGGGTATATTTATACAATAATTAAGCATAAGTAGGGAAGCCTATAAGGATAAACTTGGTAGTTCTCAAGGAGAGCTTGGTTTTTGGGGTTTCAGATCGCGGCTTCGGGGGGCTTAGGGCCGTTCTGAGGGGGGGTTTGACGGGGCCAGGGGTCTGGGGTTTCAAGGCACAGGTTGCAGGATTTTTGGGTTTTTGGGGTTTCAGGATTTTGAGGTTTAGGTAGAGTTTTTGGGATTTGTTTTGTTGGGTTTGTGGTTTCGATCTTTTGGGCTTTGCATGGCGTTTGAGGGTTACAGCCATTAGGTTTCGTGACTGTGTCCTTGCAATAGATATCTAACGAGGAAGCTTTGTTTGTTTATGTTCTCCCAGGGAAAAGCGCTTAATTGGTCCCAGCTGAGACTTCAAACACGTTAAACACTGCAGCTTAAACCCGAAGCATGCAGAGCTGCGACGCAGGCCCAAGCGCGAAACCTCTTAGTCACAACCTGCGAATCCCAACCCTCCTTGCCCAATGCCCTTACCATCCGCATCATTGGAGGTGACTTTACGTCAACACTTCTCCAAAGTCTCCAATTCCCTCAACCCTGAACCTAAACCCTGAACCCTGGAACCCTGAAGCCTAAGCCCTGAAACCCTGAAGCCAATAGACCCTCAACCCTAGACCCTGAAATCCTGAAGCTAATAAGCCCTAAACCCTAAATCCTCAACCATCAACCCTGAAACCCTGAAGCCGATAAGCCCTCAACCCTAACCATCCTGAAACCGTAGGGCCACAAGACTGGCGATTTGCCCTGGCCCTGGTCGGACGTCTGGCGAAGGTGTCGCTGCAGCTCGGCTCCCTCCCTAAACCCAAAACCCAAAACTCTAAAACCCCAAAACCCTAAACCCTACAACGCTACAACCCTAAACCCTAGACCCTACACGGCTTTTGGGGTTTACTTGGTGTTTAGGGGAGGGGGTCTATGCACTATGCACGGCTTCAAGGCTCGGAGTTCAGGGCTTCAGAAATCTGGCATCCTTTGGGGATTTTTGGGGAAAGTTTTTTTCATCAAGAAGCTGTGAGGCTCTACTTGGACGGGGCTATAAGTAGGGTTACTAATACTTATAACCCAAATTAGGGGACTTACCACGCCACTTAGCATGAACTTCCAAGTAGGGGCTGAGTACCCTAGCCCAAAAAAGGTTAACCTATGCAAGTATGGTAGGATGATATACACCCCAAAAGGTTCAAGGTTACCTTAGCAGGGGCTCGGGGCTTTATGGCCTCAGAGCCTAGCTGGGTTGAGGAGCTTCAGGGTTCGAGAGGCGGAGCGTCAGCTGGGACATGTGGTCTTGGACTTGTGCGGCTGGGGGTTAAACCCCTGAACCAACCCCTAAACCCCTAAACCCCTAAACCCCTAAACCCTAACCCCCTAACCCCCAAACCCCAAAACCCCAAAACCCCTAAACCCCCAAAACCCCTAAACCTCTATAAACCCCAAAACCTCTGAACTTGGGGGTTCGGAGTGTGGAGGCTGCTACATAAGGTTTGAGTCGAAGCCTCCCCAGCCAGGTCTCAGGTTCAAACCCTGAAACCCCCAAAGCCGAAAGACCCTGATTCTTTTTAGGGCTTAGGGGTTGAGGAGTTCAGGGGTTTAGGGGTTTAGGGTTTGGGGTTTAGGGGTTTAGAGTTTAGGGTTTAGGGCAACAGCCCCAAGCTCTGATCCCTATCCCTAGGCCTAAGCCCTCCAACCATCACAGGCGCCCCGACGTCACGGCACTGGCGGCCGCTGTGGATGCCGCGGACCCTGGATTCAAACTGTCTCTGCTTGGATGTTTGAGAACTCCTGTAGGTGCGAAGCCGCGTAAGCTCGGTGGTAGGACGGGTTCTCGTTGGAGTTCTCCTTTGCGCCAGCCTGCGATGAATCCGGGTACGCTGTCAGAGGGAATCGTCCAGGAGTACATCGAAGCACCCACCCAAGCCGTAAGCCAGAATCAATTGGAAACACGAAAGCCTGAAAAACAGAGCGTTCACTCCGAAACAGCTTATATGCCACATGACAAGTTAGATTCTAAAGTAGAGCTTCCTTCCATCAGAGCATGCTCCTGTCTCTGACTCCTCAAAGAATCCCATTTTCCAGCCTAGCCCCCTGTAAGCTTTCCACCATGCTTGGAGGTTCATGGGTAGTTATAAGTGGGGTTATAAGTCCCTTAATATGGGTTAGCAGTAGAGTTACCCTACTTATAACCACATTCATAACCGCCCATGAACCCCCAAGTAAACCCTAAAACCCTAAAGCCATTTATAATTACTCATGAGCCCCCCAAATTATGCCAGGAGTCTGGCGGACGGAGTGCGGGCTGCGTGGAGCTGCTGGCACAGCTGGCGGAGCTCAGCCCGAAAGCCGCAGCTTTCCTCCACTTTTCCAGGCGCTCCCGGGTTCATTGTGGGGTTTTGAGGGTTCGACGTAGGGCTCTTCGGGTTCTAAGGCCCCCAAGCCCAAGCTCCTAAGGACCTCCGAGTATCATAGGTGTAAGCTGCCTGCGAAGAGAAGGGAAAAGGGTAAGTAGACTCCCACGAGGAATTATGTCGGCTCTTGGTTACGGCTGTTTGGAGGTTGAGAGGCTCCCGTGTTGTCCAAAGCTCTGTCCTTGTCCCTGGAGCCTTGAAGCTCGAACTCTGTATTTTTCTCAAGCTCAGGTGCTCACCTGGCACGGAGCGGATGACATGACAGTGATCCAGAAGTTTGCAGCGTAGCATCCTGCCGAAAGAGCGTGGAGGTCGACACGCAGCTTGCGGGCAATTGGCAACCAGAAGGAAGTGGTGCTGTTCTCCCCAAGAATAATTGGCAAAAGGCAAAGACCAGACAATACGAAGGATAACCCCAGTGACAACCCCCTCGATCTCAGCACCTACCTGTTGTAGACCCCGAATATCCCTACAGCCCCAAATTAAACTTGAGGCGCTTCAACCCGTAGAGGCCGAGAGAGCCCCCAAAGCTCAAAACTTGCAGCTACGCCGTATGTCGAGGCAGCACCGGCGCGGGGCTGCAGACAGGGCGCGGCGGGAAAATCCTTGAGGCGGGAGCTCAGAGCCTGTTCATCTGCGAGGTTTTGGGTTTCAGCGGCTCGGAGACTCTTGGGTGAGAGAGCTTGGCTGAGACTGGCGTCTGCATGGAGGAGCTTTCATTAAGAGCCTGTCTCGCACCTTGCGAAGCATCTTGGGATCGAGCCCGCCGCAGCGGCGTTAGCGCTTCTGGTCTCATGGCTCCTGAAGGCTACGCACCGGTCGTCGCCTTCAGCTTCTGCCCCCCTGCAGGGATTTACTTCCAGCTTGCCACCTACGTTTTCGAGCCTCGGCCCTGCTGTAAGGGGCTCGTTTCTTCGAAGGGACCTGTGTTCTTCTAATCGTAGCTGCATTCGGAAGTCCCCAGATCGGCGCCGACATCCTGAGTCCCAGCCTCCCTCCCCCCTCCCCCCTCCGCGCAGGACATGGCGAACGACATGGTCCAGATCGTCACCTTTGTACTGCATCGAGACTTCTGGTTTGCAGGAACCATGAGCGTCTTCGTGGTCTTCAGCTTTTTGCTCACGCAGGACTGGAGCGCCCTGCACCGCTTTGGGCGAGGCTCGGCTCTCCTTGGCCCGGGGAGTGCCGACCAGGGCTTGGGAGGGGATGCTCAGGATGGAACGGGTCATCGAAGCGCCGAGCACCGGGCTCATCGGCCCCTACGGCGCCTCCCTGCTCGAGTTGACGCCGCTGCAGGCGGCCAGCTGCCTCTATGGGCTCTACTTACTCGTCAGCCAAGGCCATGGCCGAGGGCCGGCTGCAGCAGGAGGCGAGGTGTTGCGGGAGAGAGTTCGCAAGAAGCCGTTAAAGTAGGTTGGAGGTTTAAAGCGGCCTCCGAAGCTCGGGGATGCAGAAGTTGTGGTAGCCTCTTGCCGACGCCGACTTTTCAAGACCCCCTGCAAGGTAAGCCGTGGCGCGGAGGCAAAGGCAGCGGCCTTGAGGGCCGTCAGACCTGTGAAGGCGGCCCTGCTGCTCACCTGGTACTTCGGCGCCTTCACCGCGGAGCTGGCTGGCTTCGCCGTGGCGAGCGCCACCCTTCACCCGGTCCTCACCTTGCCGGGGTACTTCCTCGGTGCAGCGGCGAACGCTGCAGCATCCTGGTGGGGCGGATCGCAGCAGTTTCTCAGGGATGCTGCCTACTCTTGCCTCTTTGTTGGCGTGGCCATGGCAGGCCTCCAGACCAAAAGCTTCCTCAAGAATGAGGCAGGAGTAACTGGAGGAGGAGGCCCCGGCTCCATCCCAGCGATTGGCATTTTGATCCGCTTCATCTCCTGCACCGCCTTGTGCCTCGTGGACCTTCCCCAGGGCCTTGTTCCCCTGGGCTCGCTGGGGCGGCCCATGGGCCTCCCGGTGCTCCGGGAAAAATTCCTGGAGCCGGCCGCGGCTTCTTGGGAAGCTGTAGTGTGTTTCACCTCTAATTTCTGGATCTCTGTCGAACCGGAGGCCAATGCGACCTCCATAGCTTTGACCGAAGAGGTGGGGCTTGGCGACTGCGGCTGGCCGACAAGCGGCCAGCTGAGCAGTGCCTCCACCCTTTTCAACGCCTTCTTGTTGTTGTTCGTGGCGGTTCTTGTCCCAATGCACATGTGCATTGTGGTCGGCATGTTGCTTTTCAATCCCATTTATGCCTGTGGAGCCGAGAACCTCAGCCTCAAAGAGGAGGTTGAAGCGAAGCAGCGCGAAATCGAAGATTTCGCGAAGCAGAACGAGCTAGCTGCCGGACAGTACGAGCAGCTGAGCCTGCTTGAGAATTAGGCAGAGTCCCCAGCCGCAATCTGTGCCGCCGGCGCTTTCCTCCCTCGGTGGGTTTATTTTACTCCACGTGCTCAAGAAAACATGGTTTTCCCACCTGACCTCCATAAGACACCATCCAAAGCTCGACGGGACCAGAAAGCAATGCGGGGGTTGACAACTTGTGATGCCTGTCTCACACATCGACCTGATCGAAAGCTATCCGCGTGCAAACGTGCTGCATGTCGGGCCTCACCGCGCTTGAGCTGCACCTCTGAAATTCCCGAAATTGCCGAACTCCGGAACCCTACATGCAGAAGCCTCGAAGATGCCATGCAAGTCCATGCAAGTCCATGCTCCTTGCCACCTCGAGGCGGAGAGCTTCCGGTCCCTGCCCGAGGCGCGTGGAATCCGTACACGCACAAAGGGGATTTCAAGCATCATCCTTTCAACCGGCAGAGCCGATGAAACCCGACCCTGGGAGAGACCCTTACTGAAGCTGAAACGTGAAGCTAGCGTATGTCGGGGTAGCACCTGTGCAGGGCTGCAGACCGGGCCCTAAACCCGACACTCTAAACAGAAAAAACCCTAAACCCTAAACCCTAAAGCCTAAAAAGCCTTAAAAACCCCTAAACCCGACACCCTAAAAACTCCGAAAACCGTCCGAAGCCCTAGGCTGGGCCTTCAGACTGCCAAGACCCTAAGACCCGGAGCCTTGCAACACCCAGACAGGTTTAGGGTTCAGGGTTCAGGGTTTCAGGGTTTAGGGTTTAGGGTTTAGTAATTTAGGGTTTAGGGTTTAGGGTTAAGAAAGAATGCAGAACCCCCAACTATTCAGAAGCTGCCAGGAAAGCTGTTGCTGCACATTTTTTGCAGTTTGCATTGGCCCAGAGCTTCACCCATGGCCAGGCAGGGACGCCAGTGGCAGCGGGCGCTGATGCTCCTGGCAGCTTTGGAAGTTGAGCGCTTGCAGGCAGGACTCTCATGAGTTTTCGGAAGGTTCAGGACTTTGTGGATTCAGGGATTTGGGGTTTGAAACCCTAAACCCTCAAACGCCCTTAATCAGTGACTTAAGCCCTAAACCCTCAAACGAACAAACCCTTCCCTTAAACCCTAAACCCCCAAACCTTCCTGTCACAAGCACCTGCAAAGCACAGGCGACGCTGATGTCCTACAATGCCGCCATGCGCACCTGCGAGCTGCTCGAGCCGATGTCAAGGATTGCGTTTCGTTTAGACCTTTGGGTCCTTAATCTCAAGCATTGTACGATGCAGGGTTGCACATTGGGGTCCCGCCCTTTTCTGAAGCTTCCAGATCCCGCAATCTTTCTCGCACCGACGGCGGCTGCAAAACGCACGCCCTATTGCAAACGTACATGATGCAAGTACTGGCTGCCGGCATTCCGCCCGACACCCGAAATCCGCCAAACGGGAATCCAAACCCGAACCCTTCCAAAGCCACAGCTCCACAGCTACGCTTCCTTCTACGCAGTGTGAACGAACGCCAGAGAACCCTTCTAGAGTCTTGCAAGTCCTCGTATGGTTATGTGCAGCGCTGGGGACAACAGTCATAGGTCCCAACTACCGTGAAGACCACATGGCACGAAGTGTTACTGTACCAGAATGACCACATCGATAGTCGCAAGTGTAGGGAGTGACAGAAGAGGGCTGACCCTTTTGCAAAGAGGTCCGCCCTGCACTCCCAAAAAACGCCCAGCAGCCCCCTAAAAGACACCTTGAAAGCCCAACACCCTGCGAGTCCCTCCGGAGCCAAGGAAGGCAAACGCCTGGAAGGAGTCCCTGCTGCTCCTAGAGCAGGCAAGTTTCAAGTCGGGCGTTTGGGGGGGATCTTTTTGGGGCTTTCAGAGAAAAGTCGCCCAGTAGACCTTATCTCTAGAGGTGCTGTTGCAAAAAGGGATCCTGCTAATGTGGGGTCAGGTCGTTGGGGGGTGTCCGGCGACTTGCGCTTTATGGATGGTACCGGTCTTAGGCCGCGGCTTCGGGTTCTGGGTTTTGAGCGTCTTAGGGTTTTTTTGGCTTCTGAGGTTTGGAACTCATGGGGTGCAGGGTCTTCTACGCCAGTACGAAGCTTGCGAACTTTTTCTCCATCAACGAACGTAAACGTGTAGCCAACACACTGGTAATATAGAAGCCTAATAATAACTGTTTTGGGGGTTCCTTATTGCAATTCATGGTAAAGTATACCCCAAAACCCTATCCTAAAGGCCCGATCGAGACTTTTGGGAATACAGGTTCTTGCGCGGGTCCTTTGGTTTGCAAAAGTAAGGGGGCCGCCCCAAAACCCCTAAACCCCTAAACCCCTAAACCCCTAAACCCTAAACCCTAAACCCTAAACCCCCAAACCCCTAACCCCTAAACCTAAAACCCTAAGACCCTAGAACCCTAGACTCTGGGGCCAAGACCCGATCGAGACTTTTGGGAACCACCGGCTCTCTCTGCTCCGCAGGCCATGGCCAGGCGTCTCACTCCCGGATGGCCTTCTCTCCGCCAGCGCCGCGGTCAGCGGAGGCGCCCTGGGGCCTTCCCTTTGGGTCCTGACCTCTTGAGGGGTTCTTAGGGGAGTTTAGAGGATTAGGGGTTTAGAGGTTTAGGGGTTTAGGGTTTAGGGTTTAAGGGAGTTTGGGAGTTAGGGTGTGCTGAGGGTTTGTGGTGATGGCTTTGTGGATCTTGCCATGATTGTTTCGACCTGTGGCATCCCGCACTCGGACGGACTCGGAAGCATAATGTGACCCTGGTCGCAGGGGCAGCCTCAGCTTTCGACCGCCGAGTCCTGTCATCCAAAACACAAGAATCAAGCCGCCGCACTTGTGCAAATTTTGTGAGGCTCTCTTTTGAGGCCTTTTCAGAAAAACCCCTTCCTTCTAAGCCCCTTTAAACCCGACAGCCCCTGTAACAAAGAGCCCGGCCGTTCCTTTCTGGAAGGGTCCTTCTCCGATCTGCCTTGCAGGTGCCAAAGCCAAGGCCTGGATCCGGGCGCTCGCCGTTTTCTCAAGCTTCCGAAGGATCGGTGCGGGATGGAGCAGGCTTGCACAGGGGGTTTTGCAGCAAAGCTTGTAGGTTATAGGCTTATAGGCTAGGGTGTTGTGTAGACTTTAGGGACTTCCGCTAAGGTTTCAGGCTTTCAAATTTAAACCTTACGGCGCAACTTTCGAGTTTCCAAAAGTTCTTTGCCAATAATGAGAAAAGCACGTGACCCTGATGGAGCAGGCTTGCACAGGGGGTTTTGCAGCAAACCTTATACTAGAGTTTGGGGAGTTGCGCTATAAGGTTGAAGGCTTTAAAAGTTTAAACCTGACAGCGCAATTTTCGAGTTTCCAAAAGTTCTTTGCCAAAAATGAGCAGGGCTGCTGTCCGCACCACTCAGAGCCAGAGGCCAACGCCCCCGACAGCCTTTTCACTCCTACGCCCCACGCCTCAGTCTAAGTCCATCAAAAGCTCTTCAGGCTAACTTAATGCTACGCCCGCCGTTCCTGCTTGGCCCGAAGCTTCTACAAAAAACCCTGTAAGACTTGAATACCAGGACCGCCAATGCTGGCTCCTTGGTTGCCACCACCGCCGCCGTGGCCGCTTGCGCACAGAGCGCGCGGCAGCTCGGTCCTGCCAGGGACGTCCTAGCAGGAATTTGTAGCTCTGTGTTTTTGGGCCTGGTCAAACGACCGTCTACAGGGCCTTGGGCCTGAGAAGCCAACTTGTGCACTTTCGACAGCCTCCAACAACCCCAATGCAGAGAACCACAGACTTTAAGCTTCCCACGTGCAGCTGAAACCTATAACACCTAACAATTCCTAGACTCTAAGACCTCATCTGCAAGGTGGGCTCACGCGCTTCAGCTGCTGTGCGACGGCAGCGCAGGAGCTGTCGGGGGGCTCCCTTTTCAAGCGGGCTCGGGGCTTCGGCGCTTCCGGGTGGAGGGTCTTGGCCTGTCGGGCGCTTGCTTTGGGCAGTTGGAGTTCAGCCGGTCTCTACTTGAGCTGAGAGTAGACGCGGCTGCTGTCGACAACGGAGACGACAGGTATAGATCTCCTGCTCGGTTTCCGAGTCGCACAGCCCGTAGAGATGGGGATTGCGCCACTTCTGCGCAAAGCGTACTCTATAGGGGCTTAAATAATTACTTATACTGTACTTATACTATTCTGGAGGCTCCTTATTATAATGATATAGTATAGTAAACGCCCAAAGTCCTATTCTGATTATTAAGGCCCCTACACATTGCCGACTTCCGTGGGCGAGGCCGCGTGGAGCTCACGGGCATGCTCTGCAATGCGGCGCTGTCCGGGCCGCAAGGAGCCTCGGCCCAGAGAGCTGGGTTTAGGGCTTTGGCGTTTTGGCGTTTTGGGGGGCATCCTTATAATACCATAATGAGCATAAAAAGGGATCAGATTGGTAGTTATCAAGGAGAGCTTGGTTTTCAGGGTTTAAGATGATGGGTTCCGGAGCTTAGGGCGGTTCTGAGGGGCTTTGACAGGCCAGGGATCTGGGGTTTCAATTAGTCACAACCTGCGAATCCCAACCCTCCTTGCCCAATGCCCCTTTACCGCATCAGTGTAGGTGACTTTAAGTGACAAATTCTCCAAATTCTACCATTCCCTCAACCCTGAAGCCAATAAGCCCTAAACCCTAAGCCCTAAACCCTGAAACCCTAAAGGCAATAAGCCCTCGTCCCTGAAACCCTCGTCCCACAGGGCCGCAAGACTGGCGATTTGCCCTGGCCCTGGTCGGACGTCTGGCGAAGGTGTCGCTGCAGCTCGGCTCCGTCCCTAAACCCCAAACGCAAAACCCAAAACCCTGAACGCAAAACCCAAAACCCTCAAGCCTAAGCGGTTTTTGGGGTTTACTTGGTGTTGGGGGGTCTATGCACGGCTTCAAGGCCCGGAGTTCGGGGCTTCAGACATCTCTTTGCTTTGTTTCTTTTTTTTTCGGCGGGGGTTGGAAAGGGTTTTTCCATGAAAGAAGCGATGAGGCTTTACTTGGAGGTTCATGGGNNTATAAATGGGGTTTATAAGT